CTATAGCAACCACAACTTGAATCGCGAATCTGAATCACGTGAGAAAAATAAAGCTACGCATCTCATCTCAACATATGAATAGCATTGAATATTACCCATTTAAATAAATAATTTATAATTCTTGAAATTATTATTTCATTTACAAAACAGTAATTGGTGAATAAGCAAGTTACTTTATATTACACACAAAATAAATCAAACTCTCAATGATGTAAATGGCTCGTAAATCTGTTCACTTAACGTTAGCCCAACGTTAATCTCTGCATAGATTATGCTCTTTGATTGTGACAAAAAGGGCAATCATATAAATCCACAGTTTGAAATAATAATAAATTGTTTAGATAGAATAAATATCAGTACAGTGATAATACGTTTCTTCATTCATTTGATTACAGTTATCGTAAACCGCACTCAGAGCGACTGGACACCTTTTTTTCAAACCACGTTTATGTCATTATTTGTGATATCACGTGTTATTTATTGCACAGATTCGTGCTGAAATGATCATTTATTGACGTTAGGAATTATAAAGGATCATGTGACCTGAATACGCAAATACCTGATTTAGGTCGTTGATGTTTTTTGCCCAAAAGAAAAAAAACTGCATAATTTTAACATAATATTAATAAAAATAATTCCTAAATAGACGAAAAATTAACACAAAAATCGGTCAGTTCGTTTTGTTAATTTGCTCAATATTGCTCACCGTCTATTTTTAAATATTAGTTCCTAGACATTATAAATAAATGTTTTGAGTTAATAATTTAAATTTAGCTATCTTTAATTCTATTTTTTGTCGAGATGAGATGCATTGCTTTGTTCTGTTCACGTGATTCAGATTCGCGATTCAAGTTGTGGTTGCAGTAGCAACGCGTGTTATGATTTGACAATATATAAACGCTGAAACCCACCGCTATCTGTTGGAGAGACGAGGAGAGATTTGAGAGAGAATTGAGACATTTCTGTGCTGAAACTGCGATTCTTCAAGGAGACCAGAGGATTTCTGACAGAAGACTTGTATTTTATAAGGAGATCGACGGATATTTTCTTTGAAAAGTGTTTTCATTTTTTGAAAGAGCTTAAATTGTTGCTTTCGACACCTTTTGTCATTATTTTATCGTGTTTAATCTTGTTTTTAGTTTCATTTTATTTCAGTTTCTAATTTAAATTGATATTTTATTTCTTTATTTGCTTTTTTCAGCGTTGGTGGAGTTTGGAGGAGTTTGTCAATGGATCACAGCATCATGGGTGAAAGACGAGGTGAGTGTTTAACTTTATCATGTTTTTATTATCAGTTATGATATGATGTTGTATAATATTTGGATTAATTAATGCAAATCAACTAGTACAAAAGAACCCATTTCATCTCAACTGTTCCCACTATAAATGATCAAATGTGTTGTATTTATTGTAAATGCATCTACTGACATTGATTATTAATTGACTAATATTAATAATCAAATGTGAAATATTGTAGCCTCAGGCCGCTCCAGATCCAGGAGTGCTGCTTTCACCCAGGCAGCTGTTCAGGACGTCTGGACACATGATGGTGATGGTGAAACCCGGACCGTGAGCCGAGAGCTTCCAGGATTTGTCGCTCCTCTGTCTTCCCTGTTGGCCGAGTCTTTGTCCGCAGATCAGGGTAACAGGAAGAGGAAGTGGCAGAGCGGCAGCCAGCAAACGCCAGAAGAGGAACGTCCGTCCACCTCATCTAGAAGAGCAGCCAAACGCTCTCGCAGAGGTCAGAATAACCTCATATTCCAGACCTTATCAGTTCTTACATCATTCTTCATTAATGCTCTTGTAGTTTTGCTATTGCAGCCTGTTTTCTCTTTAAGACATTTCTCTTGCTCTTCTGTGTTGCAGACGAGTATGTGAAGGGCCCACTGCTGGGACGAGGTGGATTCGGCTCTGTGTTTGCTGGGATCCGCAGGTCAGATGGACTGCCAGTAAGACGTTTACTCCACTCTTCATTCAGTCAGCCTGATATCAGTAATGTGATGTGTGATGATCAGGCAGGTGTGATTTACTGTGCTTTATCTGTCTAGGTGGCCATCAAATATGTGTCTAAAGACCGGACGCAGAGGAGACTGAGAGTCGTGAGTTCATTGTGAAGCTGTTGTTGTGTTCGATTCAGTTCTGGAGATAATGGAGTGTTTGTCCTGCAGGATGGTCAGGGTCGGCTGCCTCTGGAGGTGGCACTGATGACCCGCGTCACTTCAGCTCCTGCCTGCCCTTATGTCCTGCAGCTGCTGGACTGGTTTGACTGTCCCAGACGCTACGTCCTGATCCTGGAGCGGCCGTCTCCTTGCCAGGATCTCCAGAGCTTCTGTGAGGAGAACGGCTGTCTGGACGAGCGTCTGGCCAAGAGAGTGCTGGTGCAGCTGATCGCGGCGCTGAAACACTGCGAGAGCCGCCGCGTCCTGCACCGGGACGTCAAGCCGGAGAATCTGCTGATCTCCACAGAGTCCCAGGACATCAAGCTGCTGGACTTTGGCTGTGGAGATCTGCTAAAGCGCTCGGCCTACAAATACTTCTCAGGTGGGTCTGTGTTGATGAAGGAAACTGTATGATTGAACTGGAAACTGTTTGATGATCCACTAAAGGGAGTTAATGTGTACTGGAGAGTTTTGAGCGGGTGTTTGTGTTCTCCTTGTGTCTTTCAGGCACTCTTGAATATGCTCCACCTGAGTGGTTCCACAGACAGCGCTATCATGCGGCTCCAGCTACAGTCTGGTCAGTAGGAGTGACCCTCTTCAACATCCTGTGCGACCGTTTCCCTTTCAGAGGTGCACGGAGGGTCACGTCCAAAAGCAGACTGCACTTTCCCAGACAGCTGTCCACAGGTAAGAGACTCACTCACAAATGAACATCATGTGGTGAGCGAGCAGAAGTGTGTTGCTCTGAGTTTCTGAAGACGGTGTTGTGTGTAACAGAGTGCCGTCAGCTGATTCGCTGGTGTCTCAGTCCAGCGGCAGCTGATCGGCCCAGTTTGGATGATATTGAGAGCCATCCCTGGTTACAGTGAACAGGTGGCCAATAACATGACACTTATCTGAATGACAGCAGTCATGGCTGGGCTTGTATTGTTAGGGTCAGTCTGGATTAACGCTGTGAATGATTTGTATAGGGTGAGCAGGAGTGACACAGGAAGTGCAGAGAAATGCTGAAAGCAGAGCCCCAGACGGCCACAGATCAGCTCCAGCAGCTCAATATGGAGATTTTATCTGATAATAAATAAATATTAGCGGTTAATTCAGTCCAGTGTATGTCCATATGTAGAATTCACATCACCTAAAACTAATGACAAACACAGATCTTGTTAACCAAAGAGATTTAGGAGCAACATTGAGTTCCACTCCTCACCAGATATTTACATAAATATAAATGTATACATAAATATATATCCACACCATATCAGAGCTTGACATTAAGCTCTCACATGTGGTTGTCCTTCAGACAAGTACATTTGTAATTTAATTGTCTGAATGAAAAAGTCACTTTCAGTTGAGAAACGTCAAAAAAATAGGTCTGAGTAAGTGGTGAAGCTTTTAAATACGGTCAACCATTTACACATCCATAAATCTGGAATTAAATGTAATTTATGAGCTATGTGGAGGCAAATTTCCTATTTTGTTTGATAATTTTAAATGTTTAGCTGTTTTTAGGTAACCTCAAGTAGGTTTATGATACTTTGTGCAAATCTAATGCATGTTAAATCAAAAATGGGGGCGATGCAGTGGTGCAGTAGGTAGTGCTGTCGCCTCACAGCAAAAAGGTGGCTGGTTCGAACCTCAGCTGAATCAGTTGGCGTTTCTGTGTGGAGTTTGCATGTTCTCCCTGCGTTCGCATGGGTTTCCTCCGGGTGTTCCGGTTTCCCACAGAGTCCAAAGACATGCGGTAAAGGTGAATTGGGTAGGGTAAATTGTCCATAGTGTATGAGTGTGAAGGAGTGTGTTTGTGGATGTTTCCCAGTGATGGGCATCCGCTACTTAAAACATATGCTGGATAAGTTGGTGGTTCATTCCACTGTGGCGACCCCTGATTAATAAAAGGACTAAGCCGAAATGAAAATGAATGAATGAATAAAAACAGTAAAATGTCTTACGCTTGAATGCTTTTATAACCCTCACACACTTACAGGCCTCAAAAAACACTTGGAAAATAATCAATTAAAATCCAGACTCAACAATGCATATACTCGCAATGTCACTATTGCGAATGTTCACATTGTAATATGGATGCTGAAATGATGTATTGTGCAGCCCTAGTGAAAACAGCCATCCTGGATGTGCTTTATCCCACTTGTTACATTACACAAAACATAAAAATTAGACACAAAAACATTGTTCTACGCCTTAATTTATTAATTCTTTCATAAAACACAAAGCTGACTAAACCAAAACCGGATGGATGGACCATAAGATAACCTGTGCATTATTTTGTCACTAGATGGCGCCAAACAGTAAAAAAACACAAAGCTGTCAGAAAGGAGACCGGTTGAATAAAGCATATACTAACCTATGTATTATTCATTCACAAGAAGACAGCAAACTGTCGAAAAAAGCAGTGTGACACAGGCAGAAACATATGGATGTACTGTAGATGTATTATGGATGTGAATTTATTCACCAAGGTAATTCAAAGTTCCCGGATGATTCTATGTTATTCAGCAGTTGTTATCTGTGAATAACATACCTTGGAATGGAACAAATCAGAAAACATTATCCCCGACAGCCGTGTAATAATGGTATTTAATGCACTGCTTGTTGTCTGGTGTAAAACCTACTTTATATTGCATCTCAATCAGGCAGTGAAAATCGTTGATTTTAAACAAACCAGATCTTAAACATGGCGAGTTTATGATGGCATGACAATTTACCGAAAGCACCTGAGCTGGCTTATTTAAAATTAAAAGTCCCGTTGAAAAGGTAAAGTAAATATTGAAGAAATTAATTCCAAAAAAAATATTATAATGCTGTGAATACTTAGTCGCTTACCAAGAACAAAGTCTCCACCTTGGCCACGGCTCTCCGCAGCAGGGTGCCCAGGTGATCTCCAACCCCGGCTAACAGTATCCCAAACATGGGGATCCCCACCAGAGCGTAAAATATGCAGAACAACTGACCACCTTTGGTCTTGGGTGAGATGTTTCCAAAGCCTGTAAGAAGTGAACGAGTGAAATGCAGCCAGAATTCAATGATATGCTGATTTGAAAAGTGTGTTCATCTCACCGATGGTGGTGATTATGGTGCCACAGAAAAAGAAAGCATTGGATGGATCCCATCTGCTGGTGTAATTTGATGTGCTTCTTGCATCCACACCTGCCTCAATGGCGTCAACCACTTTCTAAAGAGAAAAGACGATTTACCGAGGATGCAACTAAATGTATACAGAGAATGGAAGAACTTTAGAGAATACAGAATAACTAATGTTTACAGTATTTTGTAATTATTATTATTATTTTTTTTAGTTTGATTAAAATAAAAAGAGTTTTTTTTTTTTTAAGATTATTTTAAGGTTCAGTATTATTAGCTCATTTTGGTTAATGTTGCCAACCGATAACCACCGGTCGTTAAACAGATATGAACCGTTAATTGATCAGATAAATATTAAAATATTATTTAATATAAAAATTTGACGTGCCTATTTTGTATGACATTAAATATTGCATTTTAAAACCCTGATTTATTTTAACATGTGATATTAAATGTATCACACAAAATAGGCACGTCAATTATTTAAAAAATATATAAGAAGAATATAATAAATAGGCGGTTTATTCCAATCATGTTTTTTTTTCCGTCAAATAAAAATATTACGATACGCTCCACGGAAAATATGCATAATTAATGCTCCGCTGTTAGTATTATATTACAAAACCTTTGTCAACATTTTTAATAAAAGTCATTAGTTTAAGGATTATGTATTAATTATGTTTGTGACTTGTTTCCCGTGTTCGTACTCTCCGTGTTTCCTTTCCGTGTTACTCTCCTGAGTATATCTAACAAATATGTGGTGCAATGTTGCACATTTAGGGGCCGATCACACCGAGCATGCTTTTCCATTCCAAAAACGCGAGGCGCACCACACTGCCTTTTTTGTTGACAAGAAAAAAAGAAGCGCGGTGCTCTTTTTTATGTCACCAGGAAAGACTGAATCAGCTGACCTGTACTGTGCGCGAGTGTTGCTGTCTTTGTTGTTATAATTGTAATTTTTAATAACATTATGATATTCAAGATTTTTTAAGTCATACAGCTCTGGATAACTTGAAACAGCGACCACAAGTCTCTTCTCCATTATTAAAAGTTCGCAGTAGTCGTCTTGACAACACAAACACTGCTGTCACCTCAACGGAAACCCCGCCTCTGCTTTTATTTGATGGAATAATGAAAAAGACGCGACTGAGGTAACACGTTTTTCCGCTCGAGCGCACATATCGCGCAACGGCAAATTGCGAGATGCGCAGGTTGCTAAAGCAGCCCGCAAAAAGATTACAGCCATTAGTAAACCATTGAAAAGATGCGCCTCACAACGCAAAAAAATGCTTTCGGTGATCGGCCCTTTATGAAGCAAAACCAAAGAGCAAAGAGTGGGAAATTTGGGATTTGGGAAACAGCCAGTAGATGGCGCGGCGGCCATTTTGGAATGAAAATTCCAATAGAACAACAGCATATTATAAGTATGTAAAATATAATATCTGTAAAATAAACAATTAAAAGTGCTGATGATTGTGATAGTAAGTGTTGTATTGTCATCTTAAAGGTTGTATCTCAGCTTTAATGTGTTTTTTAAACAAGGTAAATAAAAACAAAGCAGCTGCTTGCCATCACGACAGCAATAAGACCCTATGGATAGCCGACCGCTTTCATTCCAAAATGGCTGATTCCGGGGCAGTTGCTGAGCGCTGCTGTTGTTATGTTACGGTTCTATTGAGTGTTGCCTCTTAGTCATTCTAACCTCTTTGGCTCAACTTTAAAAGTATTTAAAATAATATTTTTTATCGTTTTACCATTAATTGTTTACAAACACACCCTTTAGGTTAACACTTGATCCGTTATTTTGAGCATCCCTACCTCTTACGATTTTTTTCTTATTTGATTCAATGATCGAAATAACCTAGTTTAGCCTGTAAATTGCACTTTAGGCTGAATACTGGTATCTTCCAAAATAATTAATAAAATAATATGTACTGTTATCATGGCAAAGATAAAAGAAATCAGTTACTTGAAATATTTTATTAAAACTTTTATGACAGCAATTGGGAAATATTTGAAAAAGAATTAAAATTTCGCAGGACAGATAATAATTTTGTCTTGATAAATGATAAATATAAGATTAAAACATTTTGAAATGTTGCTTTGGGAATGATAAAAAAAGTATTAAAATTTTTGTTTTAGAATATATATATATATATATATATATATATATATATATATATATATATATATATATATATATATATATATATATTAAATAAAATTTTACATTTTACAATTTAAAAAAATAATAATAGCTCAAGTCCTATAATCACTGATGTTAAAACCATAATAAAATAATAAAAGTACATTGTAAATTAGGGCTGGGCAATTAATCAATGAGTAATGAAAATCGACATTCAGGACCTATAATTGATCAAATTATTCCAAGTCAATATTTTCGGTTACTTTCCCTTCCGCTTGTGGAGTCACGTGACGCCCCTATGTTAATCTGTGATTTATACTTCTCTGGCCAGTTTGCTGCCACATCTGATCTCTGGTCCAACAGGATGATGGACCCATTCTTGAGCCCTACTTTGCTCTACATTGACGATGGTTGGAAGCTGTGCCAGAGATGCCTTGCGATAGCATATTTTCTATTACATTAAATCGATTATTTACATTAAAATATTTCTTTACAGAAGATGTAAGAAATGCACTGTTTAAAGTATTGTTCACTGCACAGGATATACAAGAGTTGTTGTATTTAGAAGAAATACTGCTTATTTTTTACTTTTAATATCAAAAACATTGAAAATGATTTATTTTGTTTCCGAAAGTGCATGTTATTTATTTTCACTTTTTCATAAGAAAAAAGCGGCTGTTGGTTTTAGGCAATGTGTGTTTTAATTTTAGCTGTTCAACGTTGACGTTCAATAAATAATCACAGATAGTAGATAATATAAATAACATAATTTGTATGTTTATGTTTAAATAACACTAAAAAACTAAACAAGCACTATATCAGTACAAAAAGTTACATATTATTATCTTTGTTGTTTTTTGTTGTTGTTTTTTACAACAGAGAAGAAACAAAAAAAATGTAATAAAAAGGGAAAAAAATTATGATGATAATAATAGTAAAAGAGGAAAAGAAAAATTCAAACAAGAATAATAAGTGTACAGAAAAATTACAACCAACTATCACAATCAAATGTTCAGATCCATTATCAATGTTGAAAGTAAATGTTTACAATTAAACAGTATAAAATAGTAATAGATAAAACAAACAAATTAAATTACTACTAAAAAATTTATTAAAATGGGGAAGGAGATAGCATCTATTGAATGGAAGGCAATACCTTAAGAGAGTTAAAGTAAGTTATAAAACATTCATTCATTCTTTCATTCATTTTCTTGGCAGCTTAGTCCCTTTATTAATCCGGGGTCGCCACAGCGGAATGAACCGCCAACTTATCCAGCAAATTTTTAACGCAGCGGATGCCCTTCCAGCTGCAACCCATCCCTGGGAAAGTTATAAAACATTGCCACTTTTTAAAGAAATTAGTTTTCCCAGAGCATCTAACCTTTTCCAACTTTAGAAAATGCATAGAATCTGCAAGCCATTGGGATGTAGTTAGAGGCTTATTTGATTTCCAGCGAAGTAGAATATGACGCCCGGCTCATAATGAGGTAAAGGCCAAAATATCAAGTTGTTTAGAATTGAATTGGGACCAAATCTTTGGAACCCCCAAAAATGGCAACATCAAGGGATGGGTGTATATTACCTGCAACACCTTGGACATAACTGTAAAATAATTAGTTGCATGTTTAATTATTTTAAAATCATGTGATGCACCCTTCAGAAATCTCTCACTTGTGATATGTGAGCATATTTACTGTACAAAACTTGTCAGTGAACTATTAATTGTAAAAAATATATAAAAAATTTTAAAAAAGAATTATTAAAAATGTATTATAAAAAATTTAATTAATAAAATATTTGTTCATTAATTGTAATCTAGTTAAAATGTTCAATCAATTGAGATTTTGATTGTCGGATAATTGCCCAGCTCTATTGCAAATTACTAAAATGTAAATTCAAATAAAAACAAAACTGACAATAATGAATAATTATTGAAATTCTATATTAACAACACTAAAATAGCACTGTCGACTGCTAGTTAAAATGTTCCTGATTTAAAACAATTATTTAAGTACACATAATCAGTATATCAGTTTCCGCGTTGATTGATTTTGTGCAACCTCTGTGAACTCCCTCAGACTGTAAGCGGTGACGCAGCTGTGGTTCTGCAGGAAAGCCATCTGAGAGGTGAGCAGCTCCCGATGAGCCCATTCCTCCCTGGAGGACTCGAGCCAGCCGAACACCAAAGCCCCCAGCACCAAATACAGCAGCACCGCCGCCAGGATGGTCAACAGTGTGGAGTAGCGCATGGCTGTGACGTCAGGCCAGCTGGAGGACTGTTGTGGAAACACAGGTCATCGTGTGTCCATCAGGTTTGCTGGAGCGTAGAGGGGAACGTCAAGGGAAATGCTCACAGTAATGACATTATCTGTGGTATATGAAGAGATTTGAGAGAGCTTTGAGAATCTGGAAAAAGTATTTAAGGTCAGTGATGGATAAAGTACACAAATCAAGCAATCTGACAGTCTCCAATAGGCAAGGCAAGTTTATTTATATAGCACATTCCATACAGAGTGGCAATTCAAAGTGCTTTACATAAACAAGAATAAAAGAAACAAGTAAAATAAAAATAAAAACGAATAATAAAAATGAGTAAAAAAAAACATAAAAACAGGTAAAATGTGATATAAAAGAATGAAGAAGACATAAAACATAATAGTGCAATCTGTCGGACGCAGCACAGTGCTCATTCAGTAAAGGCACAGCTAAACAGATGTGTTTTCAGTCTTGATTTGAACATGCCTAATGTTGGAGCACATCTGATCATTTCTGGAAGCTGATTCCAGCAATAAAAGTACCTTTTAATTTTAGTAGAAAAGTTTTGTACAAAACATTTTATTATTAAAACATTCACTCATAACTAATGATTATTAATGATAAATGAAGTGTGGAAACAAGTTAGGGCTGTGAGATTTAAAGAAAAAATACCAAACACAAAATTTTGGTGAAAGTAAAAGGTAAAGGTGAACTATTATGCTGCTTTTTACAAGATATGCAATAAGTCTTTGATGATCCTAGAGTGTGTACTGTATGTTAAATTTCATCCTAAAATACCACACAAATAATGTTTTACAACTCTTTGAAACTGCTCCTTTTAGGTTTTGATCTAGAGATGTGCAGATCAGCTGAAATGTCACCCGAATCCAAGTGGTGCTCGCTGCAGAGCCATTTGAGGAGAGCTGAGCTCCAGCGAGGGGGAGCTTAAGCTTGAGCTCCACCTTTTTTGCACTTCTCCTACGAGTGATGTCACTGGGGGTAGGGTTAGGGGTGGGGTTGGTGTACGCATTAAAACAGCTTACAGGAGGAGGAGCGACAGCTCATGCTCCCCCTCGCTGGAGCTCAGCTCTCCTCAAATGGCTCTGCAGCGAGCACCCTCTCCCCGAATCTGCGGCTTCATACTAATCATCCACCCACCACACGCCCGCACATATAGTTTAATCTAATATATGTATCCGCACCCAATCCGTACTAAATCGTCACTTTAATAATTTAATTCTTTGTTTTAGGCATGATAATATGTCACCGTGGATATTAACAGCAGATTCATTGAGCTGATCTGCGCATCTCTGATAGTAAAATAATATGTTAATCTTTAAGGTTTATTTATAAAAACAAAAGTTTTCTTCATTTTCAAATAGATACAGAAAGAAAAAATAAGACATTTTAGCTTTTACAAATACAGTAACAAGACAACAAAAACGGTGCCACTTCAGCCTAAACGGCAGCTATGCTGTTTACTTATCTTTTTCTTTGCACTGTGCAAAATGGTGAAATAGCTATTTTTGTATTAAGTTATTCTCTTTAGAGATTTTTTTAATTGGGTTATATCTTATATAACTATATTTTTATGAAATTATAAAAGCTTATTTATTATGTTAGGATTTTATAGTGTTTGTATACTGGGGCTCTATTTTGACGGTCCATGCGCAAAGTGCAAAGCGCATGGCGCAAACGCATTCAGGGCGTGTCAGAATACACTTTTGCTAATATAAGGACGGAAAAATCCGCTTTGCACTGTGGCGCATGGTCTAAAAGGGTTGAGTTTATTTTCTTAATAAGTTATAGGTGTGTTTTGAGAATAAACCATTCAGAGTCTCATCTCCCATTCCCTTTAAGAGCCAATTGTGTTGCGCCATAAGCGCATTTGCTATTTACATGATGTAAAGTAAGTGTAAGTGGAAAAACTGAGCATTTCACTAGCAAGAAAACAGTTAAACAGAGCATCTACAGCGCGAGAATAAGAGATAAATTATTAACTTTCACTTTCGCTCTCGCGGATAAGGAAACCTTGTATGCACAGACATCAATTAGCCTATAAATAATTAATTTAGTTTGTTAAACGCAAATATTTGTTTCAAAACTATTTCTAAAATCAGTTTTAATTTCCAGCAAACGAATAAATGAACAATAATGACGAAGTGTGTTCAAAAAACTGAGTTATATCCTAAAACACATGCTGTGCCCCATATTGTCTAAAACCAGCAGGTGGGCAATTCTAAACTTGTTTTTAATAAAACAAATATTAATATGCATATAATAAATAATACTGCTAATAATAATAACATTATACAAAAGCAAATTGTTTTGAATGAACTGAAGAAGTCATGAAGGCAGTGGTTTTTATATTTATGTTGGCTAGAAAATAATATATTTTGTAATACTTTAATCTTTTATATTTATATTCTATATATATCCTTATTATATATATATATATATATATATATATATATATATATATATATATATATATATATATATATATATATATATCCTTAATATTTTAATTCTTTTTAATATGTAAAGATATTTGCGTATTGCTCTACATCTTGTGTGTATTAAGCAGTGTGTAAGCGAGGCACACAACTAACGCGCTCTGCGCTGGACAATAGACCAGCTTTGTTCTGGTCTATTGAAAAATCTGTTATAGTTTCTCAAAATAGCAGCGTGCCAGCAATGTGCCTCAACACGCCTCCCTTTTTAGACCAGAACGCCTATGGGCGCACATATGAGCGCAAATGCATTTGCTATTGAAACAGCTTGGCGCAAAACGTCAAAAGGACTCGTGTGCCAAGCTGAAACTAGCAAACAACAATTGCGTCGCGCCTTGTGCCACATTGCGCCGGGTATATGATAGGGCCACTGATGTATTTTATGTTCTCGTTGGGTCTGTTGCAACGTAATTTCGTTCTGCATTACAATTTTATTGTGATGTTTTGAATGACAAAAACAAAGGAAACTGAAACTGAACTGAAATCAAAATAGCATCTACTGTGTTTAAATTCAGGCAATTCCGCCTCAACTCCAAAACACGGCACTGAATAAGCGTTCACTCGCATCACTTGTTGTAGGAATGCACAAAATTCTCCTTGCAAGGCGCTGCAGTCATAGAAATAAACGATTGTTGTTTCTCAATTGTTTCTCCCACAACAAGGATTTTCCTCTGATGACTTCTCTAACTGAAACTTCTAACAGTAGGCTACTCTTGCACTTCATCCATTATTTTGGGCATCTCATCTTCCCAGTCTGCAAAGCCCACTCTTTTTTTTAGCTGGTCCACTGCAATATCCCGCAATATCCACCAACCACCCACCTGCAATTAATCATAAGGTATTTTTTATTACCCAACCGGCCCGACCTGCGGATTATCTACAGCACCTGCGGATATAACCGCCATCCGCGCATCACTATTTTGATGCAAATTGTGCCGTTTTGGTGGCTGTCGCTTTACATTCAAACGAGATTGTGCTCTGTTCAAAAGAGGGCGGAGCTACAAATGCTTATGTGTCAGCATAGCGGCAGATAAAAAAAGTGTATTTGTACAACTAGTTTTCTTGTTTTGATACATTATTTAAAATATGGATAAGACATGAATCGGGCAGCACGGTGGCGCAGTGGGTAGCACAATCGCCTCACAGCAAGATGGTCGTTGGTTCGAGCCATGGCTGGGTCAACTGCATGTTTTCCCCGTGTTCACATGGGTTTCCTTCAGGTGTTCCGGTTTCCCTCACAAGTCCAAAGACATGTGGTATAGGTGAACTGGGTAAGCTAAATTGTCCGTAGTGTATGTGTGTAAATGACTGTGAATGGATATTTCTCAGTGATGGGTTGCAGCTGGAAGGGCATCCGCTGCGCAAAACTTATACTGAATAAGTTGGTGGTTCATTCCGCTGTGGCGACCCCAGATTAATAAAGGGACTAAGCCGAAAAGAAAATGAATGAATGAATAAGACACGAATAATTTTTTTACATTTAAAATAATGTCCAATATAAGCATTCTGCCTTGTATAAAAATATAAAAAATATAATTCATAATAATCTTAAAAAGGTCTTAAACAGTCTTAAATTTGACTTGCTGAAACCTGCAAAAACCCTGTGCAATTTCAATTTTATTTTTAATGTAATGTATTAAAACAGCTCAAAATTATAACTTCAAGATATAGTTCAACCAAAAAAAGAAAAAAATGTAAACTTCATTCAAGCTTTGAGTTTCAAACCTTTCGTTCTTATGTTTAGTGCAAAAATGTTGAACCTGTATTAGCTTGTCCTACTATGCAAGTCAATGGTTACAAATGGCTTTCAAAACTATTTTAGGAGAACAAG